AGCATTTTCTGGTGTCTCTCCCCCTCGACACCGCATCATTGTAATCAGCATTTTCATTCATCAATAAAATCATCATCATCATTCAAAACCCATTTCTCTCTCAGCTTCCGCAATTGCTCACGACATTGGTTTTCCCGCACGGCACTGACAATCTAGTCTAGCGTGCGGAGGGGACCTCATTGGCGGACAGCAACCGCACTGACATCGGTTGCTTAGCCTTACGTTGCCCTTCCAAAGAACATCAGGAAGGCGTTGCGTAACATACCTGATGAATGAATATATCAGAATGCTTCCACCAATGCTTTGCCCAAATCATCAAACTACCAAGTCCATGGAATTCCACAGCTATGGACAACTCATAGTTTGGTCAAGATCAATGAAAGATACACCCATGTCATAAATTCCAAAAACTGATACAACAGTAACTGGAAGGGGAATCACACGAGTGAATACAGCAAGCAAACATCATTACACATTATACTAATATGATCAATCAACTTCGCCATTATGCCTCAATCCCAGACTAGCTGAAGCCGCCTATATGAATCATCTGTATCCATTTCACTCTTTTTTTTTGGAACAAGGTAACAGGTATTTTATTAACAATTAAAGTGGTCCTTAGCACAAAGACTGCGCTAAGAGAAACCAGAGGTCCTGTGCTAGTTACAAAGATCCTAAGATGTCAACTACTGAATCTGCATCTTCTACTAGAGCTTCTTTGCAACAAAAATATACCATTTCACTCAGTTTTGTCCCTTCAATATCTGATTCGTCAAAATTTGACTAGTTTACCCTAACTGATTAAAAAAAACACTAGTTTACCCTGATCGTCAACCTAAATATCCTCCTCCTCTATCCAAGCAAGTGATTCATACTCCCTCCATTTCAATTAATAGCGGCGAAGTTTGACTAGGCACAGAGTTCTTTAAGAAAGAGCAAAACTAAAAAAGACTTGTGAAACTTGTGATATTAAATATGTCATAATTTTGTGTGGCAATAAAACTTTTGAAGTTTGTGTTGTTAAACATGCCACAACATTTTTGTGACTAAAAAAGTTTGTCATTAATGGAAAGTTCAAGTTAAATTATTATCAAATTTAGGAAAGATGGCATACTTTTTTTAACATATTAATAAGAAAATAGTATCATTCCTTTGGGAACAGAGAGAGTAAATTTTAGATAGATGATTGGCTACAAATGGATTTGTTTTTAATGTGTTACATGCTTACTTCTATTTTTTTCTTTAAGTGTTGCAAAATATTTGTAAAAACATAATTCGTGAAAGGGATGGGAGACTTGCTCTGTAGACTCTCTCCCAAGGTATTGAATCTCAAATGACATGCTCATACACCTCCCACGGATTATTTTGACAAAAAGCCACTTTTAGGGTGCTGTGAAATATATCCAACATTTGCAAAATAAAAAATAAAAAATAGCCTCAACTTAAAAATGCAGTAAAATAACTGAAAATAGCCACAGTTCAAATTCCAACAATTTCCTTGAAGTTCTAACTTTACAAGTGAAACTCCAACAAAGTGTCGTGGATTTAGAACTTTTACAAGTGAAACTCCAGTACTGGTAGAACCAAAGAGAAAAGGTACGATAGTGAGAATACATCAGCGGGAATCATAAATCATACTGGTGAAGTGCAAAAGCAAAACAATGAAGTTGGTGTAGTAGATGCCATGGATTGGAAAGAACATGGAACGTAGTTTTGTGTTAGATCACCTTGTACTAGGGGTGTCAATGGATATTTAAAAACCGACTAAACCGACCGAACCGTACCGGACCGAACCAATATTTAGGTTTCTTTTAGTAAAACCGTAGGTTATTATATAAATCTATAACTTTACCGATAATTAGGGTAGGGTTTTTATTTTATGAAAATAAATCGAATAAATACCGAACCATACCGAATAAATTTATAATGTGAAAAATATATTTATATGTTAAGTTTAAAAATAATAAAGCATTAAATTTTTTCTTGGGCCTTGGAATTATGAAATAGTTACAAGCCAACAAGTAATTAAACTCAAAATCCTAATTCCCAAACCTATTATGCTACTTCTATTGAAACTAAATTATTTCCACCATATTCACTAGCAAGACACAAGGTATTGTAGCAATTAGGAGTAGCAACCTACAATTTGAATACATTTCCTTTCGTATGAACAAGATTTATCTTTTTGAAATGTTTAATCTTCTATAGACTTTATTCTTGAATCTCAACTTGGTTAACATCTTTCCACTCGTGTGATTTATATTTTTTTTGTATTTGCTTAGTTTCGTTTACGCTGCTGTAGAATATTTGATGAATCTATACTCTAGCCATGTTTCATATTTTCTTAATTCATTACCTTTTAAACTGTAAAAATATCTAGAGTGTTTTGCTAAATCATATAAATTACGTATGTTATGGCAATCTATTTCTACTAGTGACTTATACATGATGTTTAAAAAAATTACCGAAAATTTACCGAACCGTACCGATACCGAAGAGAAACCGACATGATTGGGACGGTTTCGATAAGTCTAATTTTGGTTATACATAATAGAATAACCGAAAAATTGGTATGGTACAAAATTTATAAAATAACTGACCGAACCGAACCATTGACACCCCTACCTTGTACACAAAGCGCACATAGCAGACACTCCCACACCATCACAATCTTCATACTCATTCTCTACGGAAAATATGTGGTTGGATGAAGCAGGCTAAGAATGCAAAGAAAGTCATCAAACCAGGACAAAGCAAAATAAGAGCAAAGTTGTTGTTTAGACCCAGAAGAAAATTCTTCATGAGGTATCAATTATGCTGTCATGTATGCTAGAGTTTCAAAAAATTTGCAGTACTCCAGCACAGTGCTCGAATTTCACTTTTAAAAGCTCGAACTCCACGACAGTGTTTCACCGGTGTTTTTGAGAGCGCGAAGCGCAAAAAAGCAACAAGGGCTCGCCTCGCTTCAAAAGCGATCGCTTTTCTAAACACTGTGTTTCACATATAGGGAGTTTCGAAACTCCAGGCGCAGTTTCACATGTCATAATTTTGAACTCTAGGACAGTGTCGTAACGTTTGAAATAAGCATAAAAGAAGAAAAGCAGGTATATACCGCCTTTTTAAGCTGTGTCTATTTCTCAGTTACTTTCCAAATGCTGGCCATATTCTGATTAGCAGCTCTAAAGGTAGCTACCCAGTATCATTTTTACCATCTCACACAGCAAAATGGGGTTGCATAATGGAAAAAAAAGATACATTTACATTTTACTAGGTGTAATTAGGGTATCTTCCTGCTTTAGAAACGCCATCCCAATTTCAAAACTTGAAAACTAAGCTGGCCTCCTATTCAAAAAAATTAAGAATCTACGTTAAAATTTACATCAAATAATTTAAATTCGTTGACTCTGATACCCCGAACCCGCCATCCTTTTTGAACAAGGGAGTAAAAAACTGACAAACACTTAATCCAATTGGAAATCTCACGAGTGCATTCTTCATCCAAATATCATATTCTAACAATTTTTTAAAAAATAAAAACTGCACTGGGGTTTGAAATTCAAATTAATCAAATATTTGAATTTCCAGTTTTCTGATAAAAGTACACTTACACGTTAAAAGTGCCGGAGACTTTATCTCTGACGGCGGCCTCGAGATCGAACCCTAGATCGGAAGATGAAGAACCCTCCTCATTTTGGGCAGCAGCGTAAGCATTCCAATCAGCTAAAAGGGACGATTGTGTCTTTTCCAGATCGTTACTTGGCCCTCCTGTAAACCATGATTGTGCTGTTTTATGCATAATTTCTTCTTCTTTGTTTCTGATGAAATAGTTTCATGTAATGGAATTTTGTGTATAGCAGAGTGAAGGAGATCTGAAGTTTTAGGTTATGAGTCTCACCATTACATAACTTCCTTCTCATATGATTCTGTTTTTTATTTATATATATGTGTCATATCTTCTTTTTTAAAAGAATCTAGTACTTTAAAATGTAATTTCATGCCTAAAGCATCACGCGTTATGATATAGGCAGTCTAACCTATAAGTAACATAAAGATAAATTTATTATTACTCTAAGGCTCTTTCTAAAGCAAGAAGCAAGGGCACAACAGCTGCACGAAGTTGCTTCTTAGGGCATATCTGTTTTCTTGCTCGTTAGCGCTTGACTAATAAGATAGAAGGGGACATTCTTGCTTGTTTAGTAAAGTCAAGCTATGGCGGTAAGGTTGGGGTGGCTTGTTTACTAGTTTTGGGGCTTTGATTGGCAAAAGTTGTTTTCGCCCTCTAGCCAGCAGTTGTCGGATTAGCCTTCAGGTTTTCCTTACCCGCTTTTATTGAGAAAGAAGAGATCTAAAGGTTGGACATCCATCGCTTCCGTAATGACGCAGTTGAATGTTCATTCGATCCAACACCTGGCCGATCAAACCTTTCCTTGGGTTCGATCCAGCAAGTGATGCCCTCCCCGAAAGAGGGATAATCGTTAGGTCATGAATGGAATGCGAGGAAGAGAGATAAGCAATTGGCGGGGACCATCCGTTATCGATCCATATTGGGTAGATCTACCACTCTCATCCTCTGATCATTTATCTACCGTTCAATCTATTGATTTAATTTCTTCTCAATTGGCCTATTACGCACTCCGTCCAATCTACTACACATTAATAGGTCTTTTGTATTTCATCTCCTACAAAAATAGCAAATGGTTGGCCGTTCGATCGAGTCAATCCCTTGAAGTCATACCCTCCCAGTATGTCTTCCGCCGATTGATAGAAATGCCAGTCGGAATTCGAGAACGATTCATCCCACCATAATGGGTCTCTCCTACTGCTACCTACTAGTGGATCGATTTAGGGAAGGAAAGAAATGACGATGTTGCAATTTTTCCCATCCCGATAAAGCGAGTCACTCATAATTCGATAGTTGTATTTTCCGCTGATGCAGGCCGATTGGGATCCCAGCAGTCAAATTACTGTGTTCGTTCCTCACCCTCTTTTCAATCAAATCTATTCTAAGGTGTCCGAAGGCGGGGGAAAGAAAGGAGGGATTGATTGACCAACTTGAACAGATTCATAACCTGCTTCCATCTGTCCTGAATGAGGGAATTAAGGCGGGTATAGTCGAACTGAATTGCTTGATTCTAAGGTGAGTGATAAGCAGTTGTATCTTATCAAGCCTACCATCTCTTCTCACGAAAGACTTTCCATCCCGTCTCTGAAAGTTTTGCAATATAAGTGGCCCTGCTTCAAAGCCCCAGAAAACCCCCCTTACTCTCTCTCTATAAAAAAAAGCCCTTTCCCCTTTCTTTAATAATATAAGGTAAGCTTTGAAAAGTAACNTTTTACTCTCGTTTTATTAAAAAAAACCTTTCCCCTTTATTTAATAATATAAAGTAAGCTTTAAAAAGTAACACTCTCCCGACAGGCAATTAATCCATAATATCATCCATCATTGGCATTATTGGAAATAAATCACCCAACTCTTATTCAAAGCCCATCTACACACTCCAGCTGGTCATCACTTGTCTTAAAAGTCAATTCTGTGTTCCGAGGCCTTAAAAACCTCATTTTTTCTCACCTCAATTTGCATGCGCAGTCCGGGCGTATATCCGGAAAGCTTTTATGTGAAAATTTGAGGAAAATGTTAACTTTGTCGTTAAAATTGAATTTAAATTGACTTCGGTCAATATTTTAGGTAAATGGACTCAGACCCTTTGATGGTCCCAGAGGGTCCGTAGAAAAATATGGGACTTGGGCGTATGTCCGGAATTGAATTCCGAGGTCCCAAGCCCGAGAAATGAATTTTTGAAAGAAATTGTTTAACTGTAATTATAAGAGTTTTTGGAAATTTAAAGATGTGTGAATTTGATGGTATCGGGCCTGTATTTTGGTTTCGGATCCCAGTATAGGTTTAATATGGTATTTAAGTTGTGCCTGTAAAATTTGGTAAGAAACGAAATTCATATGACGTGAATCGGACCCTCGGTTGTGAAATTGAAAACTAAAGATTTCTTGCGATTTTTCTTTGATTTTGATGCTAAAATCGTAGTTCTAGGTGTTATTTTAGCGATTTAATCGAACGAGCAAGTGTGTATGATATTTTTAGGTTAGTATGCATGTTTGGTTTGGAGCCTCGAGGGCTCGGGTGAGTTTCAGAGGGGGTTCGGGATGTTTTGAGACTTAGAATTTCTGTTGTCATAGCTGTTGCAGGTACACAGGCATTTCCTTCGTCGCGTTTGCGAAGGAACTCTCGCGAACACAAAGAGTAAAGTGTGTCTGAAGGAAATTCCTTCTGTGCGAACACGAGGCACAGGTCGCGAATACGGAGCGTTGGGGGAGTTACCCTTCGCGAACGCGACCTGGCTATCGCAAACGCAAAGGCTATTATGGCAGGGACCTGGGGGAGGGGTGGAATACTCATCGCGAACGCATCATGTGGATTGCGAATGCGGAGGTTAGGGGAGAATGCCTTCGCGAACGCGATGGGTATCTCGCGAATGTGAAGGCTTGTGGCCACTGCGTCTCGCGAACTCGAAGAAGGTCTGCCCAGCGATTTAAAACAGAGGCAGAACGGGATTTAAGCCATAAATCATAGGTATGTGTTCTTGAACTCATTTCATTCATTTTTTATCAACACCCATTAGATTTCTAGGCCTAAATCTTGTTTTTCAAGGGTAGAAATTAGGGATTTTAGAAGAATTGGGGATTTTACAAATTTAGGGATTTAGACCTCGATTTGGGGTCGTATTCTAAAACTAGTTGCATATTTGGACTCGTGGGTGAATGGGTATTTCGGTTTTGGTCCGAACCTCGAGTTTTGACCAAGCGAGCCCGGAGTCAATTTTTGGGTTTTTGGGGAAAATATTGGGAAAGCTATAATTAAGCATTGGGTATGAGTTCTTTAGCATTTATTGATGTTAATATTGGCTAGATACAATTGAATTAGAAGTGGAATCAAAAGGGAAAGCGATAGTTGAGGCTTCATTCATAGCCGTGACATCAAGGTAAGTGTTTGGTCTAACCTTAGCTTGAGGGAATAGGTGTTGTGCCTTATTTGCTATGTGCTAGTATAGTGTACGACGTATAGGTGTGGTGACGAGTATCTATGCGTTGGTGTCAAGCATGCCCGTGAGTCTTAAATTGTAATCGTTGTGATTCTTGATAAGTACTATAAATGCCTAATTTGTTGATTACCCATGTTGAGTAAGACTTATGATCATTTTTCGTAGTATTTGTCTATTGTTGAGCATTGGCTCCTGTTGAGGTTCATTTGTGAAGTTAATTGTCGGAACAAGATTGGTTATAGCTGATTCCTTTGCCGGGACGTATTTAATTCTTATTGTTGATTCCCTTGTCGGGATGTATTTATTCTTATTATTGATTTCCTTGTCGGGATGTTGATTGTTACTATTGTTTGGGTGAAGAAATAGTGATAAAGCATGAAGGGTGATGTCGTGTACATTCATACTTATGCATATGGTGAGGAAAGAGTGATAACTCACGAAGGGTAATGTCGTGCACATTTACATTGATATTGATGCATATGGATAAGGAAGAGAGATAAAGCATGAGGGTGATGTCGTGCACAATTTCTAATATTCATTTGGTGAGGAAGAGTGATAAAGCACGAAGGTGATGCCATGCACATTTTCTTTATTGATTGCATAGTGTGGATTGAGAGTAAAAGCACGAAGGGTAATGTCGTGCATTCTTTGCCTACTTGTTGTGATTTCTTGTTGCTATTGATTCAAGCGCCTTAATTGTTTCATCCCGTTATTTCCATGTTTCCTTATGGTGTTATCCCCCAAAGCATGTTGTCACTTCCCGTTACTTCTGATTAGCTTCTATTACTGTTATTCTGTTAGATATTGTTTAATTGCAGATTATGTTGTTTGTTGTGTCCTAGCCTCGTCACTACTTCGCCAAGGTTAGGCTCGACACTTACTCAGTACATGGGGTCAGTTGTACTGATACTGCACTCTGCAGTCTTGTACAGATCCCAGTACTGGAGCATACAGACCTTAGCTAGGGGTTGCTGCCTTCAGTCCATCGGAGACCCGACGTAGTTCTGCAAGCGTCCGCAGGCCTTGGCGTCCCCTTCTTATCTTGTTTCTTTCTATTCTTTTCTATTTCAGATACAGACATGTATTTTCTTTGTTCAGACCCTATTTGTAGTATTCTTAGATAATCCGTGAGATTGTGACACCAGTTTTGGATGGATTATTATTATGGATTCATATTAGTATTAGCTTAAATGTTAAATTCTGTTCTTCCGCACTTTTAATTTCGCTGTATACTTGCATTAATTTGGTAAATTGTTAAATGTAAAGGTAAAAGGGTAAATAATCAATAATGTTGGCTTGCCTAGCGGGTTCAATGTTAGGCGCCATCACGGTCTCGACGGTGGGCAATTCGGGTCGTGACAAGTTGGTATCAGAGCTTTAGGTTTCTTAGGTCTCACAATTCACGGACAAGCTTAGTAGAGTCTGAGGGATTGGTGCGGAGACGTCTGTGCTTATCCCCTAGAGGCTACGGAGTTTAGGAATGACTTCACATCTATTGTTCTCTGTCATTTAATTTGGTTTCTCAATGCTAATTGAACTTCTACTCTGTTCTTTCGTAGATGGCGAGAACACGTGCTTCTTCATCCGATGATCAGCAGCCTGAGCCCCCAGCAGTAGCTCCCATGAAGGGCAAAGGACGAGGCCGAGGCCGTGCTAGGGGTCGAGGTAGGGGCAGAGCTTAGCCTAGAGCAGCAGCACCAACGGCGGAGCCTCAGGTAGAGTTTGATGATGAGGTTCCGGCCTAGATAGTTCCAGTGGACCCAGCTCAGGTCCCATAGAGGTTCATCGCTACCCCGGTACTCCAAGATGCTCTGGTTCGTCTAGTGGGCCTTATGGAGAGTGTCACCCAGGCAGGTTTACT